TGAATTGCTTCCTTTCTATTAAGTAGGTGTTGCAGAATTGCTACGACTATCCAAGGGCTGTTGAGGTGATGGCGAATTCTTATGAGCATCTCATGCATACCAAAAAATGGAGGGCAGCTATTCCTGATGCAACATATGAGGTAAGACATTTTCCAGGCCTTATGCATTTTAAAATTGCTAACTGTAATATCTAATTTTGCATGGTCCTCGATTAGTGTATACAGGGAAAAAAATGGATTGTTATATGCATGTGCATTGTTACATATACATTACCTTGAGGAGGAAACAACATGAACCTTATATTTTCACCCCTTTCTTCATTAAGCGTCACAGGACGTTCTACGATTCCTTGTTTGCTGTTTGCACCAATAATCCACGTACTTTACAACATCTGGCCAGATGTACCATCCGAATAGCAATGCGTGGGCGCTGTGAAATAGGCATTCAGCAGATACCACTACCTCCACCAATCAGGAGATACCTACTGCTGGAGCCTGTGGGAATTATATTCTAGAGACTGCATTGTGACAATCAAATCAAAGTGGTGAATTCCTGCTCTGCCAGGATCAAACTCCTGACATGTCCAAATCCTGGAAGCATGGAATATTCTGGAACTTTTAACCCCTTGATAACCATGGATCTGTTAGTGGGTCCTCGCTTCATTCCTCACTCAAATTACTGCAATTTATGTATAGGTTTTACAGTTGTCACTAGATGATAAGCCTTGAGTTTAAGGGGTTAATTACTGTTAGGCAAATGGAACTATGATGTAGCTAGTCACTTTTAATTATATAGTGTTGTGGATAACATCACAAGCCTGTAAACTTGGGTTCAGTTCACCTCTCGGCAGACATTCCATTTTATGCTGTTTTGGGGGAAAACTCTGATTAGGCGGTCTGGATTAGAGTGTCTGCCATATTCTGTAAATTAAATTGAATGTTATTCACATTCAGGGTGTCCTTTGTCCTTTGTCCTTTGTCTTTTGCAGCTTCTGTCATATCTGGATGATGGAATATCCTACTACTTTTCATTGTGCTACCAGGCAATTCAGAGGAACACATACTTTTTCTGGTCTTTCTTAAACTGATAATGAGATGAAATTCAAATATGTATATATTTATTATTTGTATGACACCAGAAAACATTACTTTTCCCCATTCTTTCAAGCAAAATCAAACAAGTGAATTTGAGAGAAATGAGAATAAAAATACAATTAAAATTAAAATATTAAATTACAGTCATATGCAAGTTTCCACTCCCCCAGACAAATTACATGTTTTGTTGATTTTTCTATGTGAAAATAAGTTAACACATCCTCTACAGGACACAGTGTTTCTGAGTTTAACATATTTGGGGGGAAAAATGAAATATAAGATGTGCTACAACCTTTTTACATGCCACATGTTTTTTTTTGTTTTTTTTTACAAAATGTTAATTCTGCAAAAAAAACAGTAATTGTGCATTAAAATATGCAGAAGTGTGCTCTCTGTAGCGAATGTGTACTTCTTTTCACTTCAAAAATCAACAAAACTTGTAATTTGACTGTGTAAAGAGTACAAAACACTCACTTGTTGTTCCACAGGGCTCTTATATAGCGCAAAAAGTGAACTACATTTTAATAAAAGCTTTATTAGTACCCTGTAATGAGCTGTACAGCACTGATTTCAAGCAGTTTATAATGACTGCAAAGCCTTATTTAGATTAAGAGTATAAATATCAGGCATTATGCCAGCAACTCTTTGGAGATAGCCTTTGAAAGGCAGTAGACATCTAAGCCATTTATCCTTTTGTCAAGGCTTAAGTGAACTTCACAGGCTTTAACTGGCACTTTCAATGCTACACCCTTTACACTCTCCATAATTACAGCATCACCCAGTAATGCCAGAACACTGTCTCTGTCTCGTGGAGCTCCCAAAGGCAGTTGGTTGAAATTACAGCCTACTGACTATGGAAATACTCATATTATGTTCTATTCTAGTAGCAGACATAAACTGGTCTCTTTAAAGCCAGTTGAGAGAAGTTCAATGATTTACAGAAACAATAGGTTACAAATACAAGAAGTTAGATTTTCTTGGAATCTGCGAGTGCATTGATATGACTGACCTTACAAATTCCAAAGTAAGTCTAATAGTCTGTAGAGGTCAGTAAGGCTCCAAGTAAATGGATTTGTCAGCTGGACATTCATTGAAAAGCCAAGTTGGTCTAGTCCTCCACACATCAGGCTGTCACCACAGCCTGACCTCAAGGACTCTACAAGGTACTTATATAGTCCATTTATACTGAGACCATCTTCTTGCTCATGTGGCCCTGCTGCTGACTCCCACTGCACACAGGTCAAAGTGCTAATGGGGGATGGGGGTTGTATGTGAGCTTGGGTCAGTGACTGTTATCCCCTCACCCATACAATGTCATCTGGAAGTAATGACCCTCCCCACTACACAAGCCCTCTTTCCTTTCATCATATACACACTAGAATAAGAATTATTGTCACCAAATATTAACAACGAAATCCTGCCTGGAAAAAGCAATGCACTCAATTTACTTCACAAAATGATGTCCACATTTAAATCAAGTAAATTCAACACATCACTTTGCTTACAGGGCACAGAGGTACTAATTGCTGGTTCACTAAAACATAAAATCTAAATTAATGTTGTAATCTAGTTCTTATGGAGATGTGTGGAACAGTCTGGTCATTGTAGCGGTGGCTTTGAAAAGGGGAACACTGTGTTAGTAAGTGAAAGGTCAGCTCCTGAAATAGAACTGTGCCTTTTCTAAAGGAGGCTTTGGTGTCAGAGACTGGCCACTCTGTCATGACAAGAGCTTATGAGGAGAGTGGCAGGGGAGCTGAAGAAAAGGCAGAACAGTGCGTACCAGACGTGGCTGAACTCCAGGAATACATACTGGCCCAATGCCAGGAAGAACACGCTCTCATTTTGAAAACAGGCTCAGGAGAAAAGGATGTGTGGAAGGGTGACACAGCAAAAAGCTCAGAGAGAACACTCCTCACTGGAACAGTCTGCTACGTGTACTCACTGCTCGAAGGTTTTGTTCTGAGCAGCACGTTCTCTCGGCCATGTGACTAAATACATTTTATGTACGACACATAATAACTGACAAGAAATGTATATAGGCTTTTTTCACAAAAGGGACAGATAAAAACAACAAAAAAACAGTAATGCCAAATATGCAGTACGATGAAAAGGCGAGAACACCCTTTTGTTTATTTAATATCCAGTCAAAATAGCCATTAATTTATATCATACAGAAGCCTCAACAACTAAATATATCATTTTCTCAGTAGTCTGTCCACCTGTTGGCTTTAATAGTTTTTTTCAGAGTAATCAGTCCATGAAACTGAAACCTCTAATACCAAGATTAATATCAAATTTATTGATATTTTATTTGTTCCCTCTACTGCTAATTTAATACTTCCATCTTTTCAATATTAAAATCGAGTTACAGCTGTATCCTTCCAACAAAACCTGTTCCCACATCTCTCAGACATGATATGCCTCTTCAAAGAGAGCTACCGAAACTCACCTTGCCTCACTAGCTGTCAAATTTCTTTCTCATGTGCATCTAAAATGGCTAAAGGAAATATTTCTGAAGAAATTAGATGTCAGATAAGGAAGAGGAATGTCAAATGAAAATATGTGATAAACAAGAGTTTCATATAATATACATATTAGAAGATATAGAGAAAATAGGACTCCTAACCACCGTGCCAGGCCTGGTAGACCACCAAAACTGTCACGATGAGTTTTTGCTTCAGATCTGCAAACCACAGGTATTTCTGTTCATCTTTCCACTGCGAAAAGACAATTCAGCGCTACGGGTCTGAAAGGATGTGTAGCTGTCAAGAAGACCTTACTGAGAAAAGGAAAAAAAGAAAATAGAACACTGAAACTGGACATCTGAGATGTGAAGTAAGGTTTATACAACCAACTTCTAAGACTGAACTTTGAAGGTGTGGAAAAATATCCCTGCAGATTTCTTTGAAAAACTGTCCAAAAAATGGCAGATAATGAAGGTAATAAAGGCAAAATGTGTGCACACTAAATACTAAGCTTCTGTAAAATTTTCTGTTAAACATGTTTTCTGCTTGTTTCCTACTGCTGCAAAAAAGTATAACTTGTATTTAATGGTTATTCTGACTGGAAATTAAACAAATGAATGCTGGTCTCTGACTTTTGCACAAGACTGTTTGTTGGTACTTACCATTGATATTCTTAAATCTGCTGTTGTCAGATAAAAAAGGCAGCACAAAAAGTTCACTTCATTCATACACTTTAATAGAGACACAATCACTTGCAGTGGAAACAGCCTTGCTCACTTCAAAGAAGTCAGAAAGCACTGCTTGTGCATAATGAGCTTGAGTGGTGCACAAAACAGGAAGTGATCCTGCAGACTACGTGCTCTGAGAGCACAAGCCATGGTTCCTGCCTCGTACACCAGGTGTCATGTTCTCATGACTACAAATAAAGCTAGTGAGGTATGAGTGGTTGGTCTGATCACTACAACAAACTAATAGTCCCAGTTTATCACACAGTGTAGTGTGCAAGATCAATTCAACATCCGACGTTAATTGAAAGTACTCTTTGATTTCTGTACAAAAACAAATACAACAGGACTTTAGCAAGAGCAAATTAACTTGGCAGTGGTGCATGAATACAAGGCAAAGGGAGGCTGCTTCCCACTCTCATTAGAAACTGGTAGCAGCATTTGATGAATGCTGCTTGTAACATTAGCCACTGCAGATCCCTTGAAATTACTAGTGTCACAGTCCTTTCGACAGCATTCTGTAGAAAACCTCCTATGTCTTTTAGGATAAACATGCACAGCACACTTGGGTTTCAAAGAAAGAAAAATATGGCATACCTTCTTCATCCTGAGATCATGCGATTAAAACAACAAATGTTATTTACCCTTAAAATGTATGTCTAAACAATACAATGTTGGCACTTCAGTGTTACCGCATTAAATTCACAAGTACAGTTAAAAATAAAAAGCAAAAACAATTTTGTCCTTTTGTCATTGTTAATTCCTGGTAAAGAGGTGTAATAGACAAATTACAGGCCTATATGTTAGGTGGAGTGCTGGTAATGAAAGATGACATTGCAGCAGTTATTCAATAACTGTTAATATAACACTTTAAATTATATATTTATGGAATTTTGTAAACTTTTGTGTCATTTGAATTTTGACACAATCAAACTGTTGTGTCAAAGTTGTTGTGCCCTGTTGTTCTTGGACATTTCCGGTGCAAACAGTGACAAAAACTGTTCACATTAGGGCCCCATACTGTTCTTTTGAAAAAAGAACAGTTTAATTTATGCTAACATATTTAAGCAAAGCTGGTGACATATTTAACACTACTGATTTGTTTACATCGTGACTTGGTTATACCAAGCAGACAGATGCTAGAAATTGAACAAAAGCCTCTTTTGTCAGTTTGCTGTTCAAAACAAATTCAGACACAATGTCCACATTCATGCATCAATCAAGTAGTTCAACATCAGTCTCACTAGGTGTTACTCTGGCTTGTTGTTCTGTCTTTAGATTGTGTACACACAGTCATACAGCCTTCTCGAATGACAATGACACTGTACATAAACAGTTAAGTTTAGTTGGCCACATTTACAGTTTTAGATTCTAAAAACATGACAAAATGGAGTGCTGAACAGTACATTTTAAAACTACTACGTACTACGTTCCAATCCTTGATAAAGGAACCATACAGTACATTGTAAAAGTATATGCCCTGCTATTCCTAAGGTATTTTCAATGAGTGGCATGCACAGTCATTGCTGCTTACAGTCTGTAATGCAATGTTGCATTACATCTATTGTTTGCTACTTAGCATAACTTCAGTTGTTTATTATTTTAGTTTAGCTTGTACACTGGGGACTTCAACATCAGGGGATATTTTTAAAGACATATATACAAAGCTTGGCCCAACCAACTAAAGAGCACTTAAATTGAGTTGGCAATTCAAATGCTATAGCTGATTAGTCATTATTTTGTCTAATGACGTATGAACACGTTCACATATGGGGAGAAAACCTTTGTTGGTTAGATTCCATTTTGTTCAGTACATTGAACTGATACAGCTGATTTCCACAAAGAAAGTAATAAGCTTATTACAATTTTGCAAAAAAATGTGACAAAGCAATGTTTGACACACTCAAATCACAAATGCCCCTTTTCACACTGTATCATGAAGGCAGCAAACTGGGATTTGGTGAAAATGCATGAACAGCAGTGAATGCGCTGGTTCTAACTGGGAATTCATCATCCTGTTTTATCCCATCAGTTCAGCTTCCCCTCAGTTCTCACCTCTTGCACATTATAATCGTACTTTCCCAGTTTCTTGGGTTCACTGCTTGGGATGCACCAGTCGTCTGCCTCTGTGCTCGTTTGGTAATGCCTTAAAGCTGACCTGTTGAAAACTGGCAGCCTCTCCACAGATTCCGAGGATAAGGCCTGGAAGCCATGTGAAATTAAAAGGAGAGAAAGAAGGAAGGAAAGAAAACAGACATAAGTTTCTCCTTTTCTCCATGAAAATCCTTTATCCACAAGGATAATTACATTTTTCCACACAACTGGACAACACACCAGCCTGATGGCACTGATCCGATACCAGGCCGATATCGGCAGAATATGCTGGATCGGATATTGGTGGGAAAGAGGAATAAATATGATTTGATATATTCACAAATGTAGCCTTAAATAGCACAGAATTGCTTGTAGCACCACAAAACAAAGCAAAGAAGGCCAGGTGATAACATCAGTGGAGTAGCAGAGCCAGTGAGTTTTGCTAGACCATTGGAAAAAAGTTCTAATTGGAGCACTGCAGCAATACGGTGTCAAATTTAGCACTATTCTTGACTCAGTAAATATCAAGGCAGAAAATATCAACGTCTCTCTAAGAGAGACATAGTATGACTGCAGATGTAAAAAACACAGGTACTGCAGTCTTATCGTCCTCAAAGTTTTTCTAACCTACCTCCGAAGTACTCAAAAATAAATAAACAAAAACATCGAATCGGTAACAGGATTGGCCAATACTCAAGGTTTGAGTATCAGTACGCAAACAGCAAAAGTGGTACTGAGCCATCTCTACACTGTTCTAATCAGTTCAGAACATTTCTTTTTCAGCTCCTAGCCGCAAGATTTAACATGAGTATGGCTGCTGCTTGACCACTAGACTCTTCTTCCAAGCAACAGTTTTACATTATGAGCTTTATAAACAAGATCTTTATCCACACTTACGCCTGGCTGCTTAACAGGACAAAAGATGGGATGGAAGAAGGTAGTGTTAGTGTTAGCATAGTCACTGATCAGGCAACCTCAAGTTCCTGCCTTAGTTAATAAGACAGTGTCCTCTAGAAAACATAGGTCGATTGTTAGTTAGGCCAGTTAGAGTGTTTGTAACAGTGTACCTTCAAATAAATGACAGCTGATGTTCCATATCCCTCCATAGAGTAGAGCTGGAGGTCTCCTTGAAAGTACTTGGCGTAAAGGCGAGAGATGGGAAGCCCATAACCGAAGCCCGCCTGCAGAGGCAGACATTACTGTTTAATCCTGTGTAAATGACCAACAGCGTTTTGTAATTCCACTAATTTACAACCCTGCCAACTTCTTTTAACACAGAGTTTACACTAAAGCCCCACTTAGAAAAACAGTAAATCACATGTACTGACACTTCATACATCTAACATTAAACCACCACCTTTACAACTACATAATCTAAATGGTTTATAGTCCATATTCTATCATATTTGTGATGAAACAAACAGGGAGCTTACCAGGGGAGCATTGCGAGCATTGTCATTCACTGGACTTGGCGCTGTGGAATACATATAACTAAACAGACGTTCAATTTTCCTCAATGGGACGCCACCTCCTCTGTCTGACATCTATAATAATAATAATTACAATAAAACAATCAGGACTGCCTCAAAGAATGCTTGTATTATCCAGAAAAAAAACAAAACAATGTGGAACAGTTACGATGAAGATTACCTTTATGGTCAGGTCTTCACCTCCCAAAGAAACTCGTACTTTGATTGGTGGAAGATGAGTGCTGTTCTCATGGGTTTCTACAGTCGCTCTCATTGCATTCTGGTAAGTAGATGTGATGTATTTAAAGCAAATAGCATTAAAAATGCAAATGGCTCAACAAAGTATGTTGCAGTACTCTGAATGACTACATGCACTCTTTGAATGTCTGCATTTATGTAAGTACAGTTAAGATGATATGTATTTGAGCAAACATATGGTACCTTAAAGAGCTCAAAGAGCATGTGATAAAGATGAGAAGGCACATAGACAATACTAATAGGTTCATTGGGTTCCACAGCTGCAACACAATAGAAAACATGAGACAGAAAAGAGTAATTAGAAACTTGGTTATACTCAGTATAGGTGTACTTGCTGATATGCACTTGCATGCATTATGCAAGTTGCTGTGCACCAAGAACAGGTTACTGCAGCTCTGCATGTCATTGCATGGTATGTACAATGTCTTAATTTGTTACCTATTAGTAAACTACCTGACCAGATGCACGTCATTCTGCCTTTTTCTCTAACAGGCCAGTAATGTTATTTGCATGACTGAGACAAAAATAGAGATTGTATCAAGTCTCACTGCACTGTGTCACTGTATATAAAGAAAGCTGTTTGATTCATTTCAACTCTACAAACACTCAGTCCAAAGGTTATCACTTTATCAGGTTGCATGGTAGCAAATAACAAAGCATGGTTTGGTAACTACAAGACATGAGATACTAAAAGCTTTGCCTTTCCAATCTAACTACTCAAAGTAGGGCTGGGCAATATGACAATATTTATCGTTATTGTGGAAATTACATCACAATATGTCACATTATGCTTCTCTGAGCATACTGGGGATATTGCCAGTACTTAAAAAATACTTCCCAACTACATGTTGGGAAGCATAATTAGTCCTGTTTAATTTGATTTAGCGCAGCACAGTATGTGAAATTTTGAATACAAGTCACTGGATTCATAGTTTGTGATAGTATTTTTAAATGTGGTACTACTTTGTCTGTTCCAAATTATCAGATGCCAGAAAAAATAAACATTGTGACACATTGTGTATCGTGAAAATTTCTTGAATTATCATATTACATTTTTGCCATATCACCCCGCTCTAACGCAATTTCATGATGATGTTTCCGTGCTAATGTTAAGTGATAAAGTAATGCAAGCTTTTTTCACAGTAAAAGAGAAGCAGGCTAAAATGTAACATCCTTAAATTTAACTGCACCTTGTTAAGAGGCTGTGTCAGACTTTTCAGAAAGAAAGCCTAATAAATTCAACTTCTCAGTACTAAAGATTCACTAGCTAAATATGGTATCAACAGCCTCTCTTCCACTGGAGAGCCAAAAGGTTCTCAGGGTCATACTGTGCCATTCTGCACTGGTGCTGACTCGTGAGAATGGTTATCGTTTCTTTTTCCATCTACTGAGCTGCTAAATCAGAGCCAGGAAATACTGAAGAAAACTATTCAAAAGGGTGCCTAACAACCTATCACTCAAACACACAAAACACATCTGATTCCCACTGTGACTCCACCATCAGTCTCTTTGCATGCTCTCAGATGCTTCTTTATCCTCTAAAAAGGTGGGATTTAAGCATTAGTTATTGAAACTGAGCCTGTACTGTAGTGGGTGGCATCTATAGCCGGCTAACTACGTTAGCGTAGCCCAGCAGGGCACAGCTCAAAGCACAACAAAACATGATGTTTTTTTTTTCCTTTCTGTCACTTCAACACCAGACATTCAAATTTGTGATCTCAGATATGAATATTTATCCTCTAAACTGGTGTTTTTAAGCATCAGTTTGCTAGAACTGAGCCTGTACTGCAGTGGGAGGTATCACGTTAGCTTAGCCCAGCAAGCTACAACATAAAACACTATACAACAGCTTTGATTCTGGCTTTCTGTCACCACCCAGTCAGTCAACTTTGCTCTCAATGATGCAAGTTTTTATCGTCTATACTCGTGATAGCAGAGCACCAGTTAATCAAATCCAACCTGTACTGGGGTGTTTGGATCTCACTAGCTAAGCTAGCTAGGAGAGACAAACCAGCTAGCATTAGCTTAGCTAGTAGGCTACAGATTCAAACACCACAGAACAGGCTTAATATCGCTTTCTGGTCCTCAAAAGCTTCTCGACTTTACTTTTCGAGACTTGTGTCATTATCATCCAAACCTGTGTCAGTCAAGCTTCTGTTAGAAATAAACCTGTTCTGTGGTTATTGTGCTAGCTAAGATAATGCTAACCTTCTCTCTCCTGGTTAGCAGCGCTGTTTAACATTTAGAAATTGTTAGACTGAAGCTTTGACATTTGAATGGTGGACTTAAATGGTGTACTGCTTTCACTTATTTGGCATCCGTGTAAGCCAAATGAACTTATTTGATTGTTTTTTGGGTTTGAAATAACATAGCTATACCGTTACGTCATCTCAGCGAGCAGTTATTTGTTTTTGAACACGGTTAGCTAACGTTAACTGTGATGAGAAAACCACGCTGAGCCTGTTTTTAAAGCATTCCCTGTCGAACCGTATCCTTGTAGAAATGCCACTGCAACATTTACCCTCCATGCTCAAAACAGTTCGGCCCTTCAGTGGAAAAGAGGCTACTGACTCCATGCTGACATGTCAGAACTCAGCATGCACAGTGCATTCAAATACAGACTAAACAGAAAGATTAGACAGAGAGAAAGGTCTCACTCACAGTTTACTTGTTTGATCTCCACTTCTGGCGAGGTCAGGTAATACTGATCACACAGCATCTTGGCACTCTCATAAGCATCTATATGGAGAGAGAAGATTTAGTGACTAAAAGGGCTCACATCATACATGTTTTTGTACTTTATTTTTTTTTCTGAGGTCCACTTATGACTTGTGCGTGTTTATGCACTAAAATCAGTCAAAATTTGTTTTTATATATATTTAAATATCATATTAATATCAGTGCCACTACTGGCAGTTAGATGCAGAGTCAGTATTGACAGGGAGTATCAATACCATGAAGCAATTTCTGATGTGCATGTGTGCTACTAAATGACAAGTGCATGCACACCAGTACATGGAACTTAACTAAAGCAAGCAACACGTTGCCAGTGTGAGATGACAGGCAGTAATAAAAATGCTGATGGCAAAATCTGTAATGCCAGTATTTTGTGGTAAGGTAATGGTAGTGAATGATATACCAGATGGAATTCTAAGAAAAGACATTTGATATTTGTTTCATCGGTATGCCACAAATAGGCCAGATAAAGCAAATGCACATACAGCGCAAAACTTGCCGACTTAAATGGCTGAGCCAGAGATCTTTCAGTATTCCCTCACCTCCCACTGTGTAGTCAATTACAGTCTGAGTTAATGTTAATCCGGTTTGTTATTGAAGGATGGAAAGGTTAGAGAGATACATGGAAGGAACCACCAGCCTCTTGGGGATAACAACAGCTTTTAGCCTCAGTTTAGCCTTCAGCATAGCAACCCACTAGTTGAGCAAGTGTGTCCACAAGCCCTGCCTGTGGTGCACCTCTGTTGGTTCGCTGCATCAGACAACGGAGTGGAATTGTGTAAATGTCAGGATTTACAAGGAGATACTTAAGGATCAGGTGTTGGTATTGGAAGGAAAAAAGTGGTATCAGTTCATCCCTAATATTTATCTCTTAGAATTACACAGGTTGCTTCTCTTACTGTGGCTTTAAGACTGATATCTGTAAATGACCTCTGTTGTGTCTGGCTGCCATGTATTGTGTCTCGGTCAGAAACCAGTCCATACTGAAACACTCCTTATATCATCAGTGTGAATGGGCGTAACTACACTGCTGTAGGCTGAATAGGCAGATATATGTAAATGTGTTGGTTTTGATGACATCACAGAAACAGTGATTTTAAAAAAGGGGCTGTGTTTGCATTCCTATATGTGGACTGTATTGGTTTAGATAGTGTAAACCGTATGTTTTGAAACATGAAAACAGTTCTGAAATGTTTATATACTACATCAAACTCTTTTGTTTTAAAAAGCGAGGAAAATTCAGTTTTGCACAATATGGGCACTTTAAAACTGAGAACCACACTGGTCACTCCACTGGTACATGCCAGAGGAAAGCTAATTACTACACTAGACTAAAAAACATTACCTATGCTCTGCAGTTTAACAGACATATCAAGGAGCAGCTCAGATTTATGAATTTACGTCAGCATATCTCTTAAAACACACATTATGTTTACCTTGTACCCTAGACAACTTTATGGGCTATTACCTCTTACCACCTCGACTGCATCACAGTTTGGGTCGATACTGCCAATATGCTTTGGGTGGACTGGGTTAGTGCTGCCACTGAAGATCAGTGCTAAAGGTAAACACAGATAGGGTTTTCATGAGTATGTCATTGACCAGGTTGCAAATATTGACATTCTATCTAAACCACTGAACTAAATAAATAAAAATACACAAAAATTGTAATAGTGCCAAGCATGTCTGCTAAAATGTGCAAACAGAGCTTTGAATGCAAAAAGTGACTGTGAACAGAATAAAAAAAATAGAAGCTCTAAATTATTCATTTGCATTTGTATTGTTTGTAAACAACCATTAAAATTATCATTAAGCTCACAGTGGGGTAGAACTACCATGCTTGGAAAATTAGGCATGTAACATTTATCACAAAACAGCAGCACAAAACAGTACAGGGTTCAAGCTTGTCAGAACTTCTCACTATGCTGGTTGATGAGCATGCGGGTCGAGATGCGGCTTGTGTAGAAGCGGTCCAGGAAGTACTGCACGTTCTGGTTGGTTACTGGATCCACACCAAAAGTCTCCTTGTACTCCACCACCCCCTGAGCCATTGTGGGTACCACATTATTGTGCCTGTTCCTCACGTTAATCAGAGTCTCTGTGAACCTGACAGGACATGTAATCTGTTAGAGCACTGTTGTCATTATGACTAAGTCCTGTAAACATCATTTAAAATATTAAATTTAAAACTTAAACTCACATGTTCAAAACCTTTTTATCATCAGGATCTTTTTCCAGAAAGTCCACAATCTCCATCAGACTCTGTGCATACCTGGTTCAATACAGAAAGACTGTTTGTTGAGAATGTACTGAAACTTAACCATCAAATGAAGTGAAAGAAACTGAGTTGTGAAGTGCAAAGGTATCATTTAAAACACTGAACAGACACTGTGCTTTAATAAGACATGTACTTTTGTAGTTAACTGATTACATTTCAGTGGCTAAACACAAACTGAACCTATTCACTCTGCTGTCTGGCTGGGAGTAAATAGCCATCTCTATCTTATTATGATTAGGCTAAATTTCAGTCATGTGCGCTGCCTGCATGAAGCACACGCTCTGCAAGCACAAAACAACCACAAGAACCGCGATGTGAGAAGCTTTGACTGAACTCTGGTCAAAGCTCAATGTAAGTTTACTGTTTTGCAGTCTGAAAATATTATTCTTTCTCGGCTACATGATAACTAATTCTTTCCTTTCATAGTCCCATAAAATCTCTGGCCCTATTGTCGATGAAAGTCCAGCATAAAGTGGAAATCCATTTTCAGGACATATTCTGAGGAGATGCCATTGCTGAGAAAAGGAAATACACAAAACCAAGACCAAAACTTGCAAATCAATGCAATGTTTCTGTTGTTTTTCCCTGATGCTGTATGTACTGGCCGTTTTGACTGGAAAATAAAAAAAATGAAAGGTGGTCTCTGATTTTGCACAGTACTGTAAATTACTGCAGTGGCCCCTGAGAGTTGAAACCAAACACTTATAGATTTCAATAAGTAATAATTGCTACAAAGAAAAACATTTCCAATCGCCAACAGAACCATTTTGTAACCTGGAAAGCATGCACAGCCTTGGAATTCAAGATACTGCCACACAACCTTTAGCAATCAATATGGTAATGGGCTTTGATGTATCATAACATAAGGAGAAACAAAGCAGTACGCATAACTGTTAGGCCTAGCTTTTATTCTGAAGGGTGCATGACTGGAATTTTATTTTGGTAGCATTGATTTTTAAAGCCTGTGCCAAACATAATGAAGCAGGCAGAGAGAAACATTCATGACAAAAATCTTCTGTTTTTCCTTTATAAATCATTCTGTCCATTCTCTTTTGAATATTGCTGTTTCAGAACTGGGCAAAGAAAGTTTATTTTTAAACTGACTGACTTTCCAGTGAGATCAAGTCATCCAAACCACAAGCATGTAGTGTACATAGGAGCGATTAAATCTCAGAGCTGGTCTGGATCTAAGGGCCTTCATGACTCTGTAATTTTCTCCCAACTTTGGTTCATTTGTTACAACTTCATATCATGTGTTGTGATTTATTGCCATGAATAATGGCAGTGAGGTCAAGTGTAATAAATAGCCTATGTCTCATGCCCTCTTCTTTTTGAACCTTACTCTAGTATGTAAGTAACAGCCCACATCAAAAAAACCAAAAGGATACATCAACAATAATTCTACATACCATGGCCAGCACACCTCAAACTGCAGCAAATGAAGAAAAACTGCTGACCATGGGACTATCCCACAACTTTTTGGTAAGACTTTTTAGACAGCACCATTTTAAAGAGGTGGTGAAGGCCTGGCCACCGGGTGGTATGCTGGTTTATGGATGGAAAAATGTTCCCTATGTCCCAGAGCTCAATGAAGTTCTAGAACAGAGTTGCTAGAGTGATACACATGATGAAACTCCTGGTATTTACATTTTACACACACTGCTAGGGCTGAACAATTACTAGTTACAATAAATTGCAATTTAAAAGAGCGTAATTTCCAAATTGCAAGAGCTGGCATATCCTACATTATTCAACATTGGCTTAACAAGTCTCAAGTAGGGAAATTAAACTTGCACTATGTAAGATTATTGTTAAAACTAAAAAGTAGCATTACTGAGCCAGGAGAAAAAAAATTGCTAAAATATGGTGTGCGTTTGCTCCTGCGAGCCACCCCGGAAAAATCTGAAATAGATTGTGGGGTCAGATTTTGCGGGAGCTTTTTCAACACTTACACCCTTGGAAAACCAAGTTTTGACTTGAGTTCTTTTTGAATATCCTTTCAACATGCTTGCAATAGTCAGATCCATCTGCTCATGGGGGTCCAAAGCACAATCGACATTATAAAATGTCCTAGTACAATGCGTGCAATTACACATTTCTATCAGAGAGGTCTCCAAATCCCCAAATCTTACATGGTGTAGCTTTAACCTAATAATGCAGAGCTCATGAACTGGCAGTCTGGCACTGTACATTCAGAGCTGAAGCCCCTAGTGGTCTTCCTGGCAAAAAAGGCCTAGAGTTTAATTTATGGAAATAACTGCATTTCAATCACTAGCACAATACTGGTCAGAAAAAAAGTAGATATTTTCACCAAATTGTTCAGCCCTACAAACTGCCCAATGACGTTCAAACATAATTTACAGATTTTCAAAGAAAGAATACAGAAGTCAGTACTTCTGCTGAGCTAGCCAAAAGTGATCACCACAACTGATATCATTAAAAACAAAGCAAAAGGCACAGAAGAAAGACGCTTATCTATAGCATCTCCCATTCTTGTGATGTAAACACAGTGCTCACCCAACAGTGAACCCGGGTTCAAAGTTTAAGCAGCGCAGACATCATTAACAGAGGCAGCATAACGTCAACTGAACCCTCGAGTCTAAAACCACATTTGTAGGAGCAAAGCATGGTCAATAAAAGCAGGGTCAGCATGGAAACAGCAGTAAATTTAGCCAATCTAAGGTTAATGGCAACAACATGATAAAAAACATCCTGTCATTTCGCTGACTGCAAACATATGTTCTATGACCTCTTGTCTCACAACTGTGAACACACAGAAATGCAGAAATATAGCCAATCAGGATTCTCATGCTCAGAATGCTCTAAATGATTAATCACTTCTTGTCATCTTTTCATGTTTAACAACTATTTACTATTCTGTGGCCAACACTTCTTTTAATCATGAACAGCAAGACGTGTCCAAACAATAATGACAGGACTCAGGTCAATGTACAGCCAGTCTATCAAAGCTAAATTGCTGGCATTGGCTAACAGTTGGGTACTTTGTTTCATGTTGTAAATGATTTTTAGGCAACTTTCACACTGGTCCACCATGCGACTCTCTAAAAAGAGCCTGACCAAACCACTGCCCTGAGGTTAACAGAGATTATGCAATTTGGTCAGCAGAGCTTGTTTACAAAACTTTAAAGCATTATACACACTCTGTAGTGCTCGAGGGAGAGAATAGATCGACTTGTTCAAGCCATTTAGGGAAACAAACCTCAGACATATCATATTTTACCTTACATCAGTGGTGCACTTGAGGTCATGCAGACATAAGCCAAGCCTATTAAGCCTGAGCGAGATTCACGAGACACCTAACGAGCAGGCCAATCAATCTGGACACTTAAAGACATGCAAGATGCAACACGTGAGATGTCATATGTTTTGATTTTGGCTTAAATCTAAATGACCTCAAATGCACCCTAAACAAATGTAGCGCTGCATGTGAATTAGTGAATTATAACTTAATTAAACTTAAATTATAACAAATCTCATATTTTCATATCTTCAAGTTATACATGAACCAGCAGCTCAACTGAAGATTTGTCTGTGTACTGAAGCAATGTCTGTGTTTTATAAATATTACTATCCTAAAATACAATATCACCGTATACAGCATTTTAAACACACAGAATTCAGTAATATATATTTAATAATATATAGTTCATAGGCTTTCTTTATGTGGGTTCAAATATGCATAGTACTGGGACGTTGGCTGTTATGGCTAAGTTTAAAATACAACAGAATTATTGTATTCACAAAAAGCTTAAAGAACAGAACAGAACTTCAGAGATACCAATCTCCAACTCAATTCAGCCCCAGCTTTTACAAAGCACTACTACATGATTTGATTTTTATGTGAATGATGGAGTAGTTTTTAATCACGCTTACCTGAGAACATAAATCACTGACAGTATTTTATTTGATGCTTACGCACACCACATGTCTTAGGATAAGGGGAATTTAAGATGATGATAAATGAACTGTCTTAGACAGTCTGGAACTCATCATATCTATAATTTTCCAGGCCTCCAGCTCAGAATGAAGTGTGGGCACCTAAGGGCCACAGCTCTGGACACAGAGAAGCAGGAGAGCTTACCAGCTGTGCAGTAACTGTACGGATGGGGTGCTGATGAGCTTGTCAGGGAGGAAGTCTATCTCTTTCATGATGTTGGCCAACCTGACGGGAAGCTCCTGACGGAGAAATGTAAAGGAGGTCTTCTCACAGGCATTGGCAGAACCTGCAAGAAAGACAGAGAAGACATGCAGCAAGCTACACGGGTGTACACGCAGCGCCACACTCTGCCAAACACAGGGAACACCGTGCTAAGGGTGGAGACGTGCATTACATTTCTACCGCTTCTAAGACAAAAACATGGACAACATGTCAGTTTCAGCCTACAAATGTCTTATTGCTACAAAGTGGCAAATTATAACATGCTTATTAATAATTCACAGAAAGGAATTTCTACAGGATTTCTACAAGATTTTTAGAGTGAACTGAGACAATTACTATCATATAATACAGCACTCCACTCAACTAGTATAGATTACTGTAATAACAGTACTACAGACATCATACGTTATAATAGAAGCATTACATAGCTTTTTAGTTTTTTTCTATTGAAATATTGCTATGGATCATTTGTAAGGGAATGTTTTCTAGCTGATGCACTTGAACTTTTCTTAGATTAAATTAGATTGCTTTATTAAAATTGCCCAGAGTACAACGAAACTGAGTGGCAATCCTCACTGTGCATTCATAAATAACAAACAGCAAACTAAAAATAGAAAACAGATCAAGCTAAACTAATTTAAAGTACAAAATAAATAAACTATAAAAAGCAGCTGAGGTGTTGCACTTGAGGATACTGCACATTAGCTAAATAGCAGTGGTCCCATGTACAAGCAGTGCAGTTGAGCAATACTTAATTTACATACAAAGGTGCCGTTGGGATGTAAACATCTGTGCAGTGTCCCTATTAATGGGTTTGTATGTCTATAATGCGTCTTTTCGTGAATGGCAAAAGCAACAGATAACAGTTATGACTGTGTTGTCTGCAAGACTGCTCAGGAAAACTGTTTCAGGATCAGCTCAACTAGCTAGCTAATACAGAAAGAAAAAATGAGAGCACAGCCGCATGAATGGTTAGCTGGGTTAGCTGCTTCTCTCATCCAACTTATGCAACCAAATTACTTACCAAAATCTATAAACTGCTTCATTGAAAGCGGCGACGGAGAAAACTTAGAAAACCTGTCCACTTGTTTCGGTATGTTAAAAGTGTTCTTCAACAAAATGTGCGCGAATTTCATTTTGAATTCAAAGCCAAAGCCAAGTGAAGGTGAAATGACTCGAGACGTCCACTGTTTATCCCCAACGCTCAGAGGGCTAACCTGTGATTAGCATACTAGCATAGCCCCTTAACTGTCAATAACAGTGAAGCGAGTGAGACTCTCTACTGTACAGAGCGCACGAGCTGCTGCTTAGCCACAGAAATCAGTGTCCACTGTCGAGTCAACGAGCCAGCGTCCCACTATCTTCTCCTAGAGTCCATATTCAGGATTTGGCGGCAAAGGTCCAAAGATGAGGTGGTCGTCCCCAAATGTTTGTGTTCAGTTTGACATTGCCTCCGCCAACTGACCAGCTGAGTGAGGGAGGGAGGAGGGGGTCTGGTCCCGCTCCGATCTGCATAGATGTAGTAACGCAGAACAGAGAAAAACAAAGCTATCTCTTCTCTTGTTTGAGCACCGATGTATTTATTTCATCAATATTCCCGTGGTTCACATTAATAAACGCATATATTTGCCCTAATGCCTGTTTAACGCGCGTTGTTTGCGGTTAGAATCGCGAACGGAGCCCTCGTGTTCCTGAGATCTGTAATTTATACATCTATATGAAGACGTGCAGTCTGCTTCGCACATGCGCACAACCGAACTAGGGGAAAGGTCATACCACAGCTGCCTCAGAGCGGGACACAAACACAACTGTTCATCAGTAAAAGAAATGAAAAAGCGCTGCTGATGCTGGAACCTAATGCGAGTAGTTTAATTCATCAATATGTTTAGCACTCATAGACCAACTATATGCCTCCTATCGTGTTTCTGATCCTCTCTCTGCATGAATAAGTGCTTTTCAGTTTATCCTATTGTAATGGCAAGGAAAGTGGCAGTTCAGCATTGCTTTCCTATTGAGGAGTATTATACCCTCTAGTGGCAACACATAGAATTATTCTAGGAGCTAAAGACGTGCAAGACGTGCGTGTTGTTCTTTGTGTTGTTAATAAAAGCAAAAGGAAAAGCAGATGGTTTGTTGTAATAGCAATGTAATGCAGTTTTAAGCATTTTAAAAGTAACATAACAAGGACTGGGTGCCCTCTAGGGGCAATGTAGAAAAATGTTATTAGTGACGTTGTAAACCAAAGCAGAAGAGCAGGCTGCTCAGGAAACTGAGCTGATGAGGAAACAGAAATTTCCATTGTGATAATTTATTCAGGCGGGTGCAGTATATGGTACGAAATCAATTCAGTGCTGGAGCCTGTCCCTGCTGTCATTGGGTGGACAGGTCGCCAGTCCATCGCAGGGCAACATCATTAACATTTAATTCCTAATTTCTTTTTTTGTCCTTACCCTTAAACGACCAAGCCAAAAGTTTTATTACACACTTCTATAACCTCAGAATAGCTCAGTCAGTTTACATTGTAATCCTTGTAGTTACTGATTAATAAGCATCAGTATGCAATAAGCCTGGAATTTCAAGGGGTTAAGAGAAAACAGTAAACAGTGTCATTCAGAGTGGTTTGATGTGAAATAGTTTATTGTAGGGAAACATACTGACTTCAAGATTTCTTATCAGTGGTGATAGGAACCAGAGGTCTTGATGTCTACAACACAAATATAGCCAGTAATATCCAAAACCATCCAATGAACCTACATGTTTTTGTATGTAATGTTGATTATGATAAAATAAAGTGGTAAATCCAAAATATGTTTTCTTTTGGGAATATTTTATTTGATATTTTGTATTTTAATACATCTTAGCATGTAATAAGCCTTGAATTTCAACAAGTAACACTGGGGACAGTATCTGTACTTTGTGATTGGTAAAACCACTACATTTGAAGCCTTATTGTTTTGTTTTAGACCAAAAGGATACAAAAAGTGAAGAAAAGCGCCAAACAGCAGTTCCCATGCTGATAGATGCTGGATGTAAGTTCTGTGGTAGTTCTATAAGTAACTCATATTTAAAGGGAAATTCCAGCGATTTTTCAAAATTTCTGCATAATCGAATTATTGATATGTAAACAAAGTCATTCAGAGTGGTTTGATGTCAAGTGGTTCATTATATAGAAACTTTTAGAAACCCATTTTAATTGCAATGATTGCGACAGGAGCCAGGGGTTATAATGTCTACAGCACAAATATAGCCATTTTATTAACAATTCAAAACGACTTGCATGGTGCACATGTCTATGAGTCTGTAACATCAAACCACTCTGAATGACCTTATTTATAACTTAACAATTTAATTTTGCACAATTTTGGAAAAAATACGTGCAATTCCCCCTTAAATATTCAGAACATTTTGACCTGGTATGTTTGTCCTCAAATCTTTAAATGTATTCATTTGTTGAATTATTTATTTGGAAATGTACTTTTAGTTGAGTCGTTAATCACTGAGGTAACAATAACTTTTACCTGAGAATGGGTTTAGTGGCACCAGTGTGAGTTGGGCTGATGTAGTTTATTGTCCCTACCACCGATTTCCGCTAGGTGGCGGTGCTGTGACAGACTCATGCGCTTCTACAGCGCTCGTTGCTCGTTTGACAGCATGTGTTACCGGAGAGAAGCTGTTTCATCCTGACTGATTTCAATCTGGAGCAGCAGAGCAGAAAGAGGCGTACATATGAAAAAATGGATGAATATGAATGTACATTAAAGCTGGTTGTCATCTAGTCGTAAGGCATCGGTAGCAAAACAAATCTGTGCAGGCATGTTTTAAATCAGCGTTATCATTACTGCGGTTGCAAGATTGTGCGCGGTGGGAAGGAGTGATACAGCATCTTTAGAGTGGGCAGCATCCATACGGGCATCAGGTAAGCCGAGACACGCATTCTGAATGCCTGCTTTATAATGTGGCCTGATCCAGTGTTTTCATGTATTTGACCCTCATATATGTCCCTGTTTTTTATGGTATCGTTCCTGCAGTTTGTGCAGCTCGGTGTCCTACTATTCACATATGGAGTATGACGTCATGCGTGCTTAGCTCCATGGGCTACCTACTGTTAGCAATTAGCCATCTTTATATAGGCCGTTTATGCAATAATATGTCATGAGAGTAAAGAAATATTAATATTATTGATCATAGTTGATCATATTTATTTTGAATTGTGTTTTCTGTGGCTCTGTAGTCCTCGAGGTTTGATGAAGGCGTGTAGGCTCATATATTGAAGGCTTAAATGTGAAATTAGATTCCATTTTGATTTCCTTTCTTATTCATTCACATTTGTTCGTTCCAGAAAGTTCCAGTTGTCAGTTTTTTTTAGCATTTTTGGAAAAATGGTTATAGCTTTTTACTCTTTCTTTTTTTGCTTTTCTGTACCGCCTATTCTGACCTAATTTCGTTTGAATGTTGGGCCTGTTTATGTCGTTACCAGGCCTTTTTCATTTGATGTATTGCTGCTGTGCTCCTGACACAGCAACTTTGGAAGCAGTCATTTCAAGCTTTTGTCAGTGCTATAGTTAAAGCAGAGTTATTTTGTGCTATTTTAAATCCCTGCAGATGTGCTGTGTCATACTTTTACTGGGTAAATAACTGTCCTTAAAGGGGAATTCCACCAATTTTCCAAAAATTCTGTGTAATTCAATGGTTGAGATGCAAACAAAGTCATTCAGATTGGTTTGACGTGACGTCATTCAGATTGGTTTGACTCAGATTTCTTTACAGCGGCGGTGATAGGAACCAGGAGTTCCAATCTACCATGCAAATATAGCCATTATATTTACTACCCAAAACCACCAGTGAACCTACACGTGCCTTCTGAGTTTTTTAATGTATCTTTGATATTGGTAAAATAATGGTCAATCTTAAAATTAAAAAAAAAAAAAGTTTTTTTCGGGGACAGTTTAGAACACTCTTCATGTATGCCTCCACCATGAATGGATTAAAATAAGTTGATTAGATTTGTTTTAGACTAAAACTTTACCCCAAAACAACGTCCCAGACATCAGACAGTGTATTCATAACCATTTCATGTAATAACTTTCTGGGAGGGAGCTTTTAGAGCTCCACTCTTTAGAGCTAAACTCCTCAGATGTCTGAATCGTTTCTTTAGAACAAAGCGTTTCACACCAAACCACTCTGAAGGATTTTGTTGACATGTTAACCATTTAATTATGCAGAGATTTTGAAACATTGATCGAGTTCCCCTTTAAATCTGCGTCCTATCAGTCACACGCCAAAGATTTGAAATCACTGTATTAGAATCAGTGCATGGTAAACAGGAAACAGTAAACAAAAATGCTTAAGCATTAGCATGTAAATATCTGGGAATGTCTTTCAGTTTGGAAATCCATTTTTCAGAGTGATGTAAATGAGGGCACAAGCTATGCTAAACTCTTTCTCTACTGTGGCTCCCTTGTTAACATGACAGGACAAAATGGCTGACAAGAGTGACCTAAAAGCTGAGCTGGAGCGCAAGAAACAGCGCCTAGCTCAAATCAGGGAGGAGAAAAAGAGAAAGGAGGAGGAGAAGAAGAAGAAAGAGGTAAGGACATACAACATGTCAGTGTACTCTATTTGAACACTTTAAGATGTGGCAAAGCAAACATAGATGCCTGCTGAAAAAAACAATGTAGACCAGCATTAATTCCATGCTGGTCTAAGCTGGTTTATGCTGGTCTGGTGCATGGTCAGGCTGGTTGACCAGCATACCAGCATGCAAAATACAACATATGCTGGTTTGGCTGGTGAAGAGCTATATGTGTAAGTGTGTATGTATGTCTCCATCCGCAGTCAGAAACGCAGCAGAAAGCAGAGATTGCTCCTGAAGACTCTGATTTGGACCGCAAGCGTCGTGAAACTGAGGCACTTCTCCAGAGTATTGGAATCTCCCCTGAGCCTCCGTTAGGTACGGTACAGTCCTCACTCAGCGGTCAGTCTGTATTTCTTCTCACAACTTACTGCACAGTGCCTAGCCCTCCACTTGCAGCCCACGACAACAATCTGCACAGACGCACTGCATGGGACCAGCCTGCGGTCGACTCCATTCTATAGTCAAGGCACATTTCAGCAAATATTAACGTTTGCTAACTCTAGATGGGAGTTGGCCTGGACTTCTGCAGTTTAGCTGTGCTTTGCTTGCTTTTTTAACTTATTTAGTTTGAAGTCAATAGTGGCTCACCGCATTGTTAAGCCTGTCAGTTTCGGAATTTGGATGTTCAGAGTTCATCCGCATAATGGCAGATGGGCTTTTAAGGCATTAGTTAAGAGTTCACCCTGAAACACCACAGACTGGCAATTCTTTTGCTATGGCAAAGGCAAAAATGTGTAGGATTAGGTTTAGTGGCTTGCAGATGTGGTGCTTGTAATTAGGTTAGGCACTACAGCTCTTGGACAGCCATGTGACTCTAGTGCCCCCTGGTGGAAAGATCTTCCTCTAAACTACAAGGGTGCTTGGCAGGCACTCTAAACACGATTTAGCAGTTGACATAAAAGCATAGGTGGTTAGTTTAGTAATGTGTTCTGATTTTTGAAATGTTGACATAGTCCAAGTATATTTTGGGAAGGCTTCTTGTCCAATCAAAGTTGAAAAGTTGTCCAATGATGAATTACAGAGCGTAGTTGAAAATTGGCATCCCTTGAAAAGCAATGATTATTTTTGCTTGAAACCTGGCCATAATATATGCATGGCATGGTATCAAACACATTTGATATTACTTAAGAACTGCTCCGGATCATTTAAATGAGAACTGATGTTTGATGTTAAAGTCGTTTGTAGTTGTTTGGACGCCCCAGTCAAATCACATGTTTTGTTGATTTTGAAGTGAAAATAAGTTAATACATCCTCTACAGAGAACACACGTCTGCACATTTTTATGCACAATTACGGTTTATTTGCTGAATTTTACATATTGGAAAAGAATAAAACATAAAATGTTGCCTGTGCAAAAGATATGACACAATTTATATTTGTTGTTTTGTTTTTTTTCTATTATGTTAAACTCAGCAAATGAACCCCTTAAATGGCCAGGGCCCACCAGCAGGCCTAAAGTTTTATTACACACTTTTACAGGGAGATACACTCGAAAGAGGCCCCGAATATTCTGTAATAACTCTTGATAGGACGAAGCAATCTGAACAAAACAACATGCTCCTCAGTATGTGCTCCTCAGTATATGGAGCTTCGAACAAGCCGGGATGCTACTGCGTCGGAGCGATGAGATAAGCTCCAGAAAGCTGTTGCGACATTTAACCTCCGTTCCGTGTGCATACCCTGTACCCCTTCATGTGTTTGGCAGAAAACAGAGATCACTTCCAGCATCGCATGTAATGCAATCGATTACACATCAGGGTACGTACTGTATTTTTTGGTTCAGATTGCTTCATCCTAACGGGAGTTACAACAGAATATCCAGGGCCTCTTTCAAGTGAATCTCCATTTATAACCTAAGAATAGCTCAGCCAGTTTGCACTGAAGCCCCTGCAGTTACTGAATAATAAGGTTTAGCATGTAATAAGCCTGGGGTTTTAATGGGTTAATAGAAATTGTGCACAATTTGCTGAAAATATTAATTAATATGAATTAATTATACGTTTGTTCCCTAGAGGATGAGTTAGCTTATTTTCTTATTTTTCAATGAAACCTGCACTTTGACCGGGAATATTCAAACCTTTGCATACAACTGTATATTATTTCATGTGTTTTAGTCCCAACGCAAATGTCCCCTTCAAAGTCAATGAGCACGCCGAGTGAGACGGGCAGTCAGGACTCAGTGGATGGTGCCACTGCAGGCAGGTATGTTTCTAAACTCATACAGACATCATGCTGTGTGGAGTTACATCACTAACTAATACATAAATGATGGTTTAATATTACATCTAATGACTCTAAAAGAACATTATCATTATTTGGTTTATCAGTTAATGTTACATTATAAACGACTGAATATTCATGCTAATCCATCATCTAATTTCATGACATTCAGAAAAGTAATTTCATGATATTGTATTAGCCTATGAAAGAGCAGAGTTTTAAGCAGAAATAAGTACACTAGTCAGATACAATGCTACACCCTGACGACATATAGGACGATATAGCCCATAGATATGAAAATGGAAAGATCACATCATCTTAGAAAGCATCCAGGATGCTCTCTGAAAGATTATCAACACAGTTTAAAAAATAATGTTATTCAGACTTTCTTTTAACTGACTCTTTTAACTGTCTGTCTTTCTGAATTGCATCAACAGATATAGGTAAGAACCAGTGTTAATGTTTTTTAATGTGTGTCCAGTAGTTGTTGTTTCTGTGATTCGGATGTTGTATCTCCTCAACTGTCAGTTGACACCTAGAGTTGACCCTGGCAGAGGTGCTCTAATGGGGACATAATCACAAAGGGACAATGAGGCTTCAGAATGTAGAACAACCTGTTTGACTGCAGATGCTGGGCTTTAAACTGCTTAAGCAGAGTATTGATAATAATGCAGAGAGCATCCTGCAGTAGAAAACCAGAGGAAATCTCAGTCATAACAACACGATAGAAGTTAGAAGTCTGTGGTAATTACTTTTGTTTTGCTGTACTATTTACATGCATAACATCATTAATTAAAGTAGTTATCCTACTGTTCAAAAGTTTGGAATCACCTGACATTATGCTCTTTTGTCGTTGTATATATAATAATAACGTGTACAATGTAGATATAAATAAAAAAATAGAGCTATAGAATATTTTAGACATTTTACTCTATATTTCAGTATTGACAAGACATTATTAAATCATAAATAATACAACAATTATTTATTTAGTGTATTATTTTCAAGTTATTGATCTTGATATTTATTCATTTGAAATATGTATCTATAAATGTATAACATATAGCATTCTAGACACATCTAAAATTGTATTTTTTCTTACAGTTTCCTACTAATTATTTGAAGCTTGTGAACAGGACTAGCACATTAGAATAATTTTATACTTTTACTATTCTGTGCAAAAGTCAGAGACCACCCATTCGATTTATTCAATTTTCAGTCAAAACAGCCATTAAGTACAAGTTGTTAATTTTTCAAGAGATATTTCCAAGGAGTTCAAAATGATCAAAACATTAAAAGAAATAATGGAACTCATAACAACTGTGCAAGTCCTGGTAGGTCACCAAAACTGTCCCCATCAGATAAACAGTACATAAAGCATTCATCTTTATGAGAGCGGAGAAAATCAAGCTTCACTCTTACTTCAGACCTGAAAAAGTCCACAGATGTGTCTGTCCATCCTTCCACTGTGAGAACTCAACGCTATGAACCTGAAAAGATGTGTAGCTGTCATGAAGTTGTTATTGAGAAAAAGAAATTTTTCATTAGAGCAGTTAAGCAGTTAAACATCTGAGATGTGGAGTAAAGTTTTAAGGACCAACAGGTCAAGAAGCAGGAAATGCAGCCAACGTCTAAGACTGAACTTTGGAGGTGTGAAAAATATCCCTGCAGATTTCTTTAAAAAACTGAAAGCAAGTCTCCTGAAAAGAATGGCAGCTCTAATAATGGCAAAGAGTGGACACACTAAATACTGAAAGACCTGTTATATTTAGTGTTTGAGGCTTCTGTGTAATTTTCTGTTAAGTATTTGTTTTCTGCTTTCTTCCTGAGGCTAAGACTTCAAGGCCATTTTGACTGGAAATTAAAGTGCTTTTGCATGTATCTGCAGCCAATTGATTCTATATTATTGACAGAATTGATTCCACACTTTTGAACTGTAGTGCATGTAATATATCACATAACGTGATAAATGACATTCTTTCAACAAACCTTCTGCACTCTTAGAGTGAGCAGGAGCTGTGTGGTAAGGTGAGAGCTGATGTTAGGGGGCTGCTTGTACTCTACTCAGCAGACAGGCCTGTAATTAAGCTTGTATAATACAGGCTTGCTGCATAGAGTGACACATGATGGCCATGCTTGGCCCTGTCATCTGTTCTCTGCAGGGGGCATGTTTCCCGCACACTACTACTGTGCTGGAGGACAGGATTTAAAAGCCACTTTAGTGGAAGGCTAAAACCTTCAGAACCGGGGGCCTAAAATGTAATGTTGTGGTGGGCCATGAATGATTAAAGTGTACTGTGAATTTGTGGAGTATAAGTGATGATAGTGAGTATATAAAACTATCACTGTGAATGTAAATGTCATCATGTGGACCAATAATTCTTTTTGGCCATATTTCCCTTATGGTCCACTGTGTTGGCTACTTGGCAGTCCATTATTTATCCTTCTCCAACTTAAGGGTGGACAATATGACAATTGTGATAAATGGCAGAGCAACTTATACATGTTTACAGAAAGCCTTTGAACAGTGACCACCACTGTATAATAATGGCATAAACTGCACAGGAACAAGTTTGGATGTCAGCCCATTTTGCTGTTATATTATTCATTTATTTTTACCAGCTATTTTTTCTATATTTTTTCTTAAATTGTTTATTTTTGCCTCAGAAAATCTAAATATTATGATGCATATCACATATTATAAAAATGTCAAGTATCGTGTTACATTTTTGCCATATTACCCACCCTTAATCCAAATCACTCTCGTCCTCTCTTAGGGCAGGTGGCATTAGTAAGTACAAATCAGACACAGCCAATGAGAGGTATGTATCTGAAGAGCAGAAAATATGAGAATATAAACTAGCTCTGCGTCAGGTTGCTTTTGCTATGCAAACATTGCTGCTCACTGTATCTCAGTGGCAGATGAAAGAAAAGCAGAGCAGTTTAGTGTGTCCCCCAGGGTGACTGCCTGATGCCTGCTGTTACCTCCAGCCTTGACTACAGCGATTCCTCTTGCATGGTTAGACCGGAGCCATTTAGCGTAACGTGAATGACAATCCAGTTTTTTTAAGTGTCATCCTCCTAGTAAAACAGCGTGTCAGTTTGACACTTCCTTTTGACTGTGCTCACTTTTAGTGAAGGAATAATAGGCATGCTCATGACTTGTACTGAAGGTTACTCAAAAGTTTACAAGGTCAACACTACCCTTTCAAAACTTGTCCCTGTATGGTCGGCCACTAGCAGGTGTTGTGTCCAAGTTTGGGCTAAAATGCTTGAAGGACATACAGTCGTATGTAAAAGTTTGAACACTTCCCATCAAACGACATGTTTTGTTGATGTTCTAAGTAAAAATAAGTTAACACATTCTCCACAGGGAACACACTCAATTGTGGCATTTTCTGCACATTTTGATTGCCAAAGTTTTTTTTGTTTTTTTTTTGCTGGGTTTCACGTATTGGAAAAAACAAAACATGAATTATAAAATGTAACTTTTGCACAGGCCATGTATGCGCTTTAAATTCAGCAAGTAAACAGTAATTGTGTATAAAAGTGTACAGAAGTGTGTTCTCTGTAGAGGATGTGTACTTATTTTTGCTTAGAAGATCAACCATACATAATTTGACCGGGGGCACCCAAACTTTTGCTTATGACAGTAGAAGCAGACACCGCTTAATCACAGCGTGGGGTATACACACAGTATTGTGCAGAAATCTTAGGCACCCAATTAAATTGTCTAAAACTATTTATCTCAGCAGTAAGTTTGTTTTTGTCAGTAAAATCACCATATAAAACTAGAATATATACAAATACAAACATAAATACAGTAAAACATAAGAAATGTCTTAGTTCATTCCAGTCATTACATCACTTTCAAATCCATCACAAGAACACACAATGCAGTTTATTGAAGGATTGATTAACCAAACCACACTCTTAAAAAAGGGTTCTTTGAGCTTTTGCTTCCCTAAAGAATCGTGTCTTTGTGAGTGTGAACCCTTAAATGACCGGGGCCCATTGGAAGGCCTCATTAGAGGCATCTCATTTTAGTGTTGAATAAGTTGTTTAATTTAGGGCTGAAAATTAATTGTTTTTATATCAAAATCGCAATTTAAGAGAGTGCAGTTTTCAAATTGCAAAAGCTGCAGTTTTAACACACTGCAGTTAACACAGAGCCTAAGACTTTTGCACATTTTTTTTTTCTTCTGTAGTCATATATGAAACTTTCGCCTTCATATATGTGCACTTTACCTTACCTTCCCATGAGTGCATCTATATACATGCATGTCCATCTTTCAAGAATGATGATGAAAGATGAAAGCCTCTGCATTTTGTCTTTTTTGTCCTTTTATTGTGACTTTTATTTCTGTAATCATATTCATGTAGCAAAACAGAGGACTGTCCATATGACTGTGGATGTACATTCCAGTAATACTGAGCGTTTTTGTTTACTTTAACATTGCAATCATGTTTTCATTTAATGTGTATTATTTACATCATGCTGTCAATACTGTTATATTGTTAAACAGAACTATATGAGCCCCATTTGCTGGAAGTTTCCATAACCCTGCGGTCATTCTCAAAGACCTGAAAACCATCCTGTAGATCCTACATGAATACCATGAATATGTGAACAAACACGCGACTCCTCTCAGCACTGTTGGTGATTCGGACGGTGTTCCTGTGTGGGCTGATGTGACTGTTTCTGTGTCTCACTGTTCTCCTGCATGTGGTCTTGTGTGTGTGTGTGTTTGTGTTGTGTGTTATTGGTGAGGCTAATCATGCATGTTCTCTCCTCCTGGCCTCCTGGCGCCCCCTGCTGCCCCCTCCAGGACCCTGCAGTGGGACACTGACCCCTCTGTTCTGCAGCTGCAGGCTGACTCTGAGCTCGGGTACTTCCTCCCTCCTCTTTCTCTTCCTCTACACCTCTCTCAGCCCATCTGTTTCTCTTTTGTCATGGCCTCTCATTTTGTCTCTGTCTCTCTTTTGCTTGCTCTCTCTCACTTTTGCTCTCTTACTTTCTCCCTCTTTTCTTCTCTCCCTCTCTTTCTCTCTCTTTCTCTCTTTCTTTACATTCTCTTTCTCTTTCTTTACATTCTCTTTCTCTCTCTTTCTCTCTATCTCTCTCTTTCTCTCTCTCACTCTCTCTGTCTCTTTTTCTCCTTGTCTCTCCTGCTCTTCCTTTTACTTTCTCCATTGCTTTTTCTTTCTCTTATTCTTTCTCTCTTTTCTTTCTTTCTGTCTTCTTCTTTCTCTCTCCTTCTCCCTCTGTTCCCCTCACTCTCATTCTTTTTTCTTTTTCTGACTTTGTCACTCTCTTTTTCTTTGTTGCTTTCCCTTCCTTCTGTCTCTCTCTCTCTCTCTTCCTTCTGTCTCTCTCTCTTTCTCTCTCTCTCTCTCTTTCTCTTTTCCGTCACTCACAGTCAGTACTCACTGTGTGTCTTGCCTTTTCCCTGTCTGACCTTTTATTTCTTTTTCTTTGTCTGTCTTTTCCTTGCCCCCCTCCTTCTCATTTTCCTTCTTTTTAAGTTTGTCAGGTTTAAGTGCTTTCAGCTGGTTACTCTCCAGCTGTTTGCCAGGGGCTGTGTATGGCATTGATTGATGTACCCTGCCGGTACAGGTGCAGGGAACACTCAGAGTGCAACACATGAGCACTAGAATTAGAATTACTGTAGTTTTTGTTGGTCTTCTGTTTAAATACGCAGTATTCACTAATCCTAGTCACAGTGCTGCAGGAGTGCAGCCTAAACCTTTTTCATGTTATGTACACTATAATAAGTAATGCATAGAATGAATTGATTCAGATGTGAGCATCATTTCCACATTAATCAAAATGATGACTGTCAGAACAATATCTTGTATATCCAAAAAAGACTGGGAAAAAACATTCTTAACTTTCAATGTGAGTTAAAGCTACACTATGTATGAATTGGGGATTTGGAGACTTCTGTGGTGTAAATTTATAATTGCATACAGTGTGCTAAAGAACATTTTGTGAAGTGGGTTGTGGTTCCGATGACTGTGAGTTGAGTGAGTGTTCAAAGAGAGCTCAGTCAAAACTTGGTGAAGGATGTAAGTGAATTATCTGCTGTTGTCATAATGTCTTCATCAGTGTGATGATGATTTTGAATTTGAAACCTAAACATCGAGCCATACCTTCTTTTTGAGCCTGTGTGTGTGACATTAATACATAAAGATGTATGATGTGGTCAAAACTCCCACTTCAATCCGACCCAAAAACTCTTCACAGGGCGAATTGCAGCAGCGCACACGTCTTATGTTAGCATCCTTTTCATTGGACTCAGTAATGCTACTTTTTTCAGTTTTAGTAAAAAATATCTTACATAGTACAACTTTAATTTAACAAGATTATATTCTAAGTCTTTTTGGGTCATTTCTGTTGGTCCATTCGTCATGGAATTTAGTAGACAGTGTAAATTGTAGCTGGCATTTTGAAATGTTGAAAAAGAAGTTTTGTATTAACTTTGATGACATAATACATCAGTTCAATGTTGACTTTCAGGTTACTTACTGTTTGCAGTACTTATGTTAATATGATGATATTTATTAATGTGGAAATGATCAAGTAAATTCAAGCTGTCACTTTTTATGGTAGGTGAAACTGATTGTGTTATTGTATTTGTTTGCAAAGAAATTGCTGAACATTTCATCAGCATTTCCTTTTAAATGAGAGTTTAGGACAGGATCAGGTGTTTCGAATGGACTCCACAATCTGTTGTTGTGTGTATACATGTGTGTGTGTGTTTTATTTGTATTCCAGACGCAGGATGCACAGGCTGGGGGCATCTAAGATAACCCAGGTGGATTTTTTGCCCAGAGAGGTGGTCTCTTACTCTAAAGAGACACAGACTCCTCTAGCAGCTCATCAGTCTGAAGGTACAGTTTTATTTATTTCTATGCTCTTCATACATGGACACTGTAGCCTAAAGCTGTTATTATTGCTTCTGGTCGTGTGGATTATTACTGGTTTTATTTTGCTTCTTAACTGATGTAATCAACTATTGATGTGAAAATGTGTTAGTAGCTCTTGTTTCTAAGCTAGAGTAAACCAGAGAGTAACTTTTATATCTGTGTTTGATTGAACATATGTATAAAGACTTCATGGTAAAACAACTTTGTGCGGCTCTTGAAATTAAAAGTGTCTGCTGAGGGAAGCGCTTTTGATTTTCATTGCTGTCAGGTGGGTTGTCATTTTGGCTGTCTGGTTTCATTGAGGAGCTCAAACCTGGTCAGATTAAGATTCATTTGACCAGCAGTGGCCTCCATTTCCTGAGAGGAAAGCCAGGGGAATGCCTCTTTGAAAAGAGATGCCTGCCCATCAGTGGCTCTGCCTGCAGTACAGAACAGTGAGGGCATTGAGACGGCCGTTAAGTGGATGCAGGCTGGGGTAATTCAAGATGGCTTCTATCATCAGGACATCACCTGGAATTGTGTCTGCATCTCATGGGGAGGGTCACCGCTTTTACTTTCACGTTTCTGCAGAGAGCGTCTCGTGTGCTGTGTATCAGTTAAGGCCCTCGTACTTATGATGTAACTAGACAAATGTTTTTGGGTTTGATATGAATTTTGATTCTGAGGTCAAAATTTGATTTGATTTTTGATATTTTATAGTTTACAAATGTCTTGAATCTACAAAGCTCTAGTTATATACAGTCTTAGCAAAAAGGGTTCTATATAGTACCAAAAAAGGTTCTTTGACTAAACAGCAGAGCCCTTTTTGGGGCTATACTGGATTATTTTTAAAAAGGTTTGTTAAAGAACAACAGGTTTTTCATCATACAGAAGAATCATTCAACCATGCAAAGAGCAATTTATGCATTAAAATGGTTCTTTGAATTGTTACAGTTGTAGATATAAGCATTTCCTTTATATAAGAACCCTTGAAGAACTACTTTTTTTAAGAGTGTAGTACACAGTTTGGTTTTGAGTAGATAAATAAAAGTGCCTGACGTGCAGCCTCCTCATAAAATAAGCCCTAAAAACCACAAATGGCCTTAGAATTCATACATAACAGAAAAAAGGACCAGCCAGACGTCAAATGAGAGGCCCTCAGACGAGACTGAGGGGTGTGTTATATACAGTTGTTACACAGTTTATCACTGAAAGCCCTGACATTATTTGGGTGTAAATAATGACGTTTTAATGACTTAATTTTTCACAATTAGTTGGTATCACTTAATCCAGGCATGTTGTTTGTACTGTCTGGTTAAAAATTGAAGTGTACTTACTTTTTTGTAAGAAGAACTTATTCAAGCAATAAGAGAGTATGGAGCAGAATTCCTAGGGAGTTAGATGATTTGTTTATTCGCCTTTTTTCCTTTTCTCCTTGGTGTTTTCGCATAAACAACACTTTCACATTTTAGATGTAGGTTAAATATAAGTTTACAAGTTTTAGTTGTAACCGAGAATGTGTTTTGTCTTTGCTTAGTAATCAGAATCATGCCAACTCAGTAGTCTTTTGTAAGGCCGGCAAAAGAGCATTTAAGAGTGAACTCTTTTTCACTGAGTTTTCTTCTGCATAAAAACCTGATTATTTATATAGTGTAAATGTTTTGAAAGGTAAATATATAACGTAGTAATTACTTGGACTTAAAAACTCAAGTTGGTGTGATATAGTTTGTTGCGCTTTTGTCTGTTAAACTTAAAATCTTTCATGTATTCAACTCCATGTATAATTTCAATCAACTAAAAAAAACAAAACTTAATTCATTTGAGGCATCAGATTTTCTCAAATGGTTTAACTTAAAACATATCAAGGTTTACAGTTGTTATACGTTTATTATACAGTTATATTTAGAAACACTTTTCATAATTTATGCATTGTTTTTTTTTTTAAATCTAGTTTCTAGGGATGCACCAATCAGGAATTTTTATGGCTGATTCTGATTTCTTTAGAGCCAAATTTGCAGATTTGTAAATAAAGAATTGAAAAATAAATTTGAAATGAAAATTTGTTGCCTATTTATATAACATTAATCAAATAAAATGCTGCATCAAAAATAAGAGGCAACTGGCTGTTTAGCACAATGAGTTACGTGTAGTTATGCTGTGTCCCGTTGGCATTTTGTTAAATTATGTTATGTTGATTTTCTACGTGAAAATAAGTTGACACAAATTTTCAACATAATGGAAAAATACAACATATCGTCACTGTCCAATGAAAAACAAGTATCTCCAAAATATTAACTTTGCAGTAGAAGGCAAAAACACTCTTACTTTTCAATGTAAGTCAATATAAAGAGATTTTGTTCCAAGTGATTTTAAAGCATTTCTATTGGTCCATTGATCATGAAATTTTTACACAATGTAAAGGACAGCTGATGAGTTGAAACGATGTAGAAAACTAAAAATCAACAAAAATGGAGATATGTGGTTTTCATTGGACAGCGATGATATAAAATGTGCCATTTGCACAGGCCGTTTTGTTTTTTTTTCCCAGTGTTAAATTCAGCAAATCAACAGCAATTGTTCACTAAAATGTGCAGACATGTGCTCCCTGTAGAGGATGTGGTAACTTATTCTCACTTAGAAACTCAACAAAACATGTCATTTGACCAGGGGTGCCCAGACCTCTGCATAAAACTGTACACTTACATTGAGATCTCCAGCTGCTTTTCATAACTTTAAAGCACTACTCTTAAAGAGTTCTTTCTTTAAGAGTAATTGTGGCTGATTAGCATTATGGTTGCTCTGCTGAAGGCTAAGAGGTGCTGTAATTAGTGTGTAGTGTTGTTATGAACTGCATATTTAGTGTGATTATTCACTGATAGGGCACAGTAACACCAACAGTAGTGCTAGTTGTCACAGTGTACTGAGAGGTAATACTGTGGATTTTCAGTAATATGCTTCGTCATGCAGTGAATTAGCACAAATTCTATGTGTACCCCTGTTTAAAGTAGACTTTACTGTATTTTTAGCAGATCTCATTATTTAAATCGTGACACACTCAGTACTGCTGGTATGATATGCTAGTATGATGTGATCCGAATAGTAAGCGCTAAAATAGTGTCAAGCGCTCTATAAAAGAGGACCACTTGTGTTCATAAAGCTTGACTGATTTATGAAATGTAAAATTGCCTAGTCAAAACCACTTTGGCCTGTAGGTAAAGTATAATGGAGGATTATTCAGCCTTATTAGTGTAGGTGTGGTTTGCACTGCAGAAACCCAGGCCTGATATCTTCATTGTCCATCACAATATAGCAGTTAGCATTTAGATATCAATTTCCACAAGTCTGCTCTAATCTGCTCTTCTGCTGGTTAAACGTTTGCTCGATTTATGCGTCTGAAGCCAATCATATTTAAAGCATCATATTTCAATTACATGTTCAAATTTATGACCTTGTTAAAATGAAGCACACACAGCGCTCAGCTAATTTGATTGCATCCTCCAGGCTCGGGAGCCAGGCCTGGTATAAAACACAGATGGTTTGAAAAAAGTGCCCTAAACATCTCCATATGGGTGGTACCCCTTAACAAGCACTGGCTTGTTGGCACTAGAGTGTTGGAGTGTTTTGCATAACATTGTCAGGAGACATAATGCAAAGCAAGGTTTCCTTCTGTAAAGGTTTAATCTGTAAGCAATGCACTGCGAGTGGGAGTTTTATGAAATGCATCCTCCTGCAGTAGACCTGATTCCCCCTTTTCTCTCTCTCCCCTCTGACTCGTCTCTTCTTTTTTTCCATCCTGCCTTTTGCACCAGAAGCCCCGCCATCTTCTCATGGCTCCTTGATCCCTGCGTTGGCAACAGCTGCTTGCCATGTGATTGGAGACTTCCTGTCATTATAATTGATGTGTTTTTATTCTTCCCACTTCCTTGAAGCCTGATCAGAATTAAAATTGCTGGCGGAATTTCCTGTCAAGGCGGGTCATTTATTCAGCAAGTGCAACCGCTGACAAGCCTTTGATTGGCCGTTGCCCTTAGCGATACTCGCGATCACTGCAGTTTGTTTGTTTTTTCCTCCTATCTGCTTTGGTCCAGATGCTAGAGCTAAGTATCACAGCTGGCTAGAGCGACAGCACTGTCTGTCTGACCCTGCCCCACAGACACGTCCAGAAAAGAGAGAGAGAGAGAGAGAGAGAGAGAGAGAGAGAGAATGAGAGAGAGAGAGTGAGAAAAGAGGAGAGTTCAGGAGAAGAGAGGAAGAGAGAAGAAGTGAGAGATAGAGGGAGAGAAAGGAAGAGGGAAGGAAAGGAAGCGTGAAAGAGAAAAAGAAAGTGAGAGATAGAGAGAAAGTGAAAAAAGAAAATGTGAAAGACAGAGACAGGGAGCAGGAGATACAGACAAAATGTATGTATGTGTGGGAGAGAGAGAGAGAGAGAGAGAGAGAGAGAGAGAGAGGGACGAGAGAGAGAGAGAAAGAGAGAGAGAGAAAGAGAGAGAGGGATAATTGAATGTATCACTTCTCCACCTGCTACATTCAGCACTGTGTTTGTTCAGTCTGTTCCAGAAGTCCCCTTCTCTGATTGGTGAACCCAAACAGAGCTGTATGTTTTGGCCTACAATTCTTCCTTCTCTCTCTCTCTCTCTCTCTCTCTCTCTCTCTCTCTCTCTCTCTCTCTCTCTGGGCTCATTCCAGGGAGAGCCAGGTGCTAGCGTGCTCTGAGACATTGAAGGCTCTCACGCTCATTAAGTGCAGTAATATCTAAAGTGACTCTCGTGCTAAACAGTGGTCACCTTCCGCCAGTTATGCCTTTACTTGCCGCGCTCATTTGTACATGTTTGAACATTTCCCCAGGGCAGTGTTGGAGATTAGCCAAGTTGCAGGCTGTTGGGATCTTTTTCTCAGCAGCCTTTCACTTTTAAGGTTTTTTATTTATTTATTTATTTATTTCCAAATATGGACATACATAGTTTGAAGCTTGTTCCAGTCTGCCT